TTACTTAGTGTATTTATAACCAATTTTCGCTACAAATAATTCATTTTCAGCCAAAATATGATTTTCAAAACTAAACATTAAAAGAAATTCACGAAAGTAGAAATTGTAACAATAAATAAAAATAACAAAATAATAATAATATAAAAAGTAAATAAATGAATAGGACAAACCGGACATGATTGATAATAAGTGATATAATATTGTAAGAAACTAAATTTCCATTTGATTTAATATATACAACAAGTATATAAACAAATTCGTCCCATTTTTTGATCGAGTTCAGTGAACTATGCACTATCATTATCTGTGGTATTTAGTCATTTATCGGGTAAGTTATGCATGTTTTCTCGGTACAGGCTTGCCGGTTTGCAGACAAAATAGCCATCGACCCATCTTCAGACATCTTCAACTTCAGTGAACCGCTGACCTCCAAAAATTATACTGTCTCGAACTAAATAAGTGGTAAGCGGAAGGGGCGAAGCTTATAAACTTGCGGGTCTACGACGTCTTACTGGACGAACGTATGCGAATTTCATCGCAAACTGCTTTCTTATTTGCGCTTTCACGCCAAGCTATCATATCCGCATCTGGAGCTCCATTTTTTCACGTCTAATTCATTTAAAAACAGAGAAAATGCACTTTCATAAATGAAATCTAACTCTTTAGATTTGTGAACAATTGAAATTTAAATTGTTCAAACATAATATCTATACTAATTTATTGGTACACCTAATATAATATTTAAAAACTTAAGTATAATTCAATTATAACCATATCACTAAATATTGAATATATTGTGGACATGTGTCCGCCCGGTACATACGTAATATATAATTGAGTACATATAAGAACAACAAATATATGTAGATAGGTGTAAATAGGAAATCGGAATTTTTGCATAGACAATGTGAATGAAAATGATAACAAATTATTTATGTAATTATGTTTCCCGGCCCTACGCTCTACAATTTTCCCCAGCTTTAAAAATCGTTTGCCATGAGCTTTGTTCGCGTTGTTTTTTCATGTTTTTTTCCTCGTACGAAACAAAGCATTGCTTAACAAATCCGTGACCTATCGATGCAAACAGCATTTAGACGAAAGGACTTGAATTTAGCGAATAAAACGTTAGCCATTACTTTCCATTTGAGTGTATCCGAAGTGTTGCGATCCGGGCTTGTAATATATATGTATGCTGTGCGAAACAGTCCCTCTGTGTTGACTTTTTTAATGGTTTGTTCGTTTTTTGAACAGTGAACCGTTAAATCGATTACGTCTTGCGCTAGTAGTGTTCGGTACCAAATCTTTGACCAGACTTTAACAGATTGCTCATTTTTAGTCTTACCTAACGCAGAGTATTGTTTTCCTGCCAAGGCGATTCTTTCTCGTAATGGATGTGGACAGTCGGGAATATTGGGATTCTCAAAACACTTTTCACTTTTCGTCCTGAACAACACTACGATGAAAAAACGCTTTCTTTTTTTTGGAGAAAATAATAATGAGAAAATAATAATAGTGAAAGGAAACGGAGCAAATGATGGCGGTTTGACAGTAACACAGTGTTATGTGTCATAGCTACGGACACCTATGGATAAAATCCGTTTTTAGATTAAAGGACTGGCGTATTTAACTTCGTAAATTCGAAGCTATATCAAATGGAAAGCACGGAACAGAGCGGTAATTATTGAGCCAAATTCTAATTTCTAAGATAATAGTATTTTTAGAATGTACTTTGAAGATTATTTGAAAAAAGTTTTCAAAGGCATTTTAAAGCCAGTAGCCATAAATCATTAGACTTTTTTCGCTTGCTCACTCCATACACTGACTTTCTAATATCTATTGCAGACTGTGCTAATTTATTTCTTGACGTACATTTACTGTTTTTTTTGCCTACTCCTAAAAAATCTGTAATGCATCATATGCTTTTAATTTAAAGTTTTATCTCTTATTGATCTAAAGTTTTACGCATCATTTCATCTATGATGGCTTTCAGGAAGCATTCCATCTCAGATTGAGAAAACAAAAAAAAAAATCATATTTACGCTTTAACAATCTTGCCACCTTGAACAGCATTCTCTACATTTTTAAATTATTGTTGTAAGCTTGATTATTGAATCATTATTTAGATAAAGCAAAAAAATCAATCCAAGGTTCTTATATTACACAAGGATGTTATTAGCACACTATTGATTTTCTAACGTTGGAAAAGAGTTTTAGAGTGATGGTTTCAATAAGGTGTACCTTCAGCAAATAGATGGCCTTTTTCGTGGTTTTGTTCTAACTATATATATATTTTCAAATTTTTGATTAAAGTAAGCGACAAAATTAATGCGGAAATGTTTTGTTTCTAACGATTACAAATTTTTCGATTTTCTGCCAAAAGTAAGTAATTAATTTGAAGCATAAATGCTCAGTCTCTTAGCAAATAGATTCTGCTCTTTAATAGCAACTCAACTTTTTTTCCTTACATCGCTATGTCTCTATCGGCAGGCGAATGAGATGAAGTGAGGAAATCGACAAGAATTTTGTCAATTGTTCATTAATCGCTATAAGTATAATGACGATAAATTTTCTGTAGGACATATACCATTGCCGAGACCGAAGGTGAATTTTTACAAAAAGTATGGTTAAATAGTAAACGATGTTGAAGTATTTGTCGGTTCCTATACTATAGTGAAACGACATTAAAAGGGCGAATATCTAGAATATCATTTTGAGAGCGTTAGGCTTTCTTACGAAAATGCCTTATAATCATAACAAAAGTATTCATATACTACGGAGAGTATGCCAGAACATCGAAGTTGTTGCAATCTGAATAGAATATTCATCCAAAGAACTAAATATGATTTTTGTAAGTTGCGAGAATTTTCATAGAGAACTTCTTAATTCACGCACCGCAAGGGAACAAGAAAATGTTCCTATTTCACATCTTTGATTTTCAAATCATTCAGTTTCAATTCGGAAGAAGAGTCCACTTGCCAAGGTGAGAAAGACCCTATCTTTCCTTTCTAACCGCGAACTCAGTTTATTTATGCTTTATATTCATCACACAAAATCTAAATCCGGGCAACTAATCTAACGGCAAATTATATTCATTGCATCTTTTTAGAAACTTTATAGAGCAGTGTTTTGTCTTGAACTCTGTCACTTTGCTGACTTTGTCGAGGGAGTCGCAATTATGCACTGCTCGGAAAGCCTGAGTTATAATTATTGGTCTGTTTGTGATTAGATAAAAAAAGACCAATGGGTTGCCGGTTAGCAACACTCCCCAATTGAAGCTCAAGTAAATCTAAATTGTTGCACTATTATTGGCCTTCGGTAGAGTGTAATAAGCGTGCAAAATTGCCTCACATTCACAATCAACTGCTGTGGTGCTGGAAGCCAACAGGGCTACTGGTCTAAGTTTTGGCGTTTGATAGGAAAGTAAATTTATACACCACACCAGTTATTGTAAGAAAAGATCAAATTTGTGCTGATATATGAAACATTCAACGTGACTTGCGATAGACTCGAGTCTTCTTATCAGCATCATCAGAATAATTTTTTGATTTCAGCCTATTTATCGATCCAGTGGTAATCCATGTTTGTTTTCAACCTTTAGATAGAAATCTTTAAGACATTTGGTCAAAATTTGCTATACACCTTGATACGTTTTTGCACAAGGACGAGCGCTATTGTTGTAAATGTTAACGCGCTATATTTTTATTCAAAAACAATATGTAAACAATATTTCCGGACGTATGCTGAATATATATATATATATATATATGTATATGATTATAACCGATTATAAATTCCTTAAAAAACAAAATTAATAAATAAAATATTTTCATTAACCTATTTCAATACAATGAAATATAGAGAGATAACCTAAACCAAGATCCAAATAATCTAAGCTTGCATAATCCTTTGATGTAATCATAAAAATTTTTAAATTTCGTCATTTGTGAAATTATTTTATTACTATCCAGAATAAGATCCACTCTAATGCATTGCATCTTCCGTATATGTTTACATAATAAATTGCATAACGCATAGAGAACATTCAGTGACGTTAACACATAGTTATACTATTATGATAATCCAGACTATGATCAAAGAAAATGAAATATAGCAACATTTTTTTCATTTCATTTAAAAACAAAAGAGAAATAAAAGAATAATAAAACAAACATTACTGCTATCGTATGTAAGCGGGTATAAACAGAAAACACTTTTCTAACAAACAATCATATGTAAGGAGAAGAAGAAATCAAGTCGGCAAAGAGAATAGAAGCGTTGATATAATTATAACTGAAAACAAGAGAAATAAATGTTTATGAAAGTGTACGCATAGACAAAAGAAGCCGGAGAAGAGGCGCTTACAGCACTAACTTGCAATACATAAAGAGTGTGCGGTTTAGTTGAAGTAACGGGGCGGAAACGTTATCGATAAAACAGAAAGACTGACTTTAAAGCTTGAATTATTTTACCTTTAGAGCATGTGGTAGTGTTATTTTTCTCTATTATTATTATTCTAATATGGAATATGAGTTTTGTTTTTATTTTGCTTTGATTTTCTTTAGAGCTGTTCTCTGATTTTATTATACTCTATTTTTGTGGTTGTTGTTGTTTTTGTTATTCATAAAGAAGTAACAAACAGTTGGCTGAATTTGCTTTGTGATAGTATAGTACAAGGTTAGCTTTTATAGTTTTAAACCGTTAGAGAAGAAAGAAGAAAAGCAACAACATTGCAGAGAACAAAGAACAGAAGATTTCATGGTTGAAAGAATTTTTCTTAAGCATATTAAAAAAGAAAGAAAGGAAGATTTTTTTTTTTTACTCTTATTAAAGTAAGTTTTAAGATTTTCTTTAACAGCAAGTTTACATGGAAAGATATATAAAAAGATTGAATAACAAATTTTTCATATACAGATGTATATATATACTTGTATATTTATTTGTCATTCAACCATTCAGTTATGTTAGTTGTACATATATAATACATGTAGTGTGTAGCTTACCTTCACAATGAAGACCATCACCGCGATAGCCAGGAAAGCAGGTACATGTGAAACTGCCGAGCGTATTCGTGCAGTGAGCAAATACATCACATGGACGATATTTGCATTCGTTGTCATCTGCAAGATCATATAAATAAACGCATTATTTGCTTATAAATTATAATTTAAATTTTCTAATAATCTTATGATATATACCTTGAACATTACAGTTGCAACCGCCCCAACCGTCATTGCAATGACAAACGCCGTTTAAACACACACCGTTTATGCATTGTGTTCCATCCTTATCACAGTCATCTGTTAAAAAGACGAACAATAATAATATATTTATAGTAAGAGTATAATATGATTTACATTTTAAGGGCTTTTGATATTTAGCACTTCTTGTCTCTACTTACTTGTGCATTTGAGCTCTTTATTAAGCTCATCGGAACCAAGAAAACAATCTTGGTTACCGTCGCATAATTTCGATAGTTCGTATAATTGTAAATAGTCGGTTGATTCGTTTACTTGACAACCGAAGTAGCCATCTTCCAAATTTAGAAAAAATACTTCGTTACGAAATCGACTACTTTTTAAATTTTTTTTGAACGGTGATATTTGTTTATGTAGTTGTTGTGAATGCACCTATAACGAGAATAAGAAAAATACTTACAATCAGCTATGATGGGATAAATTGGAGAAGAACATGTGTGTAGCGCTTCTTAATTTAATTTTAGGACTGCCATAATACTCTAATTTTATGCATTGCCGAGATTCAGGGCATACTTGCAACACATATATTAGGAAAATTCGTACTGTCTTTTGAGATATAAAGGAAATAAAGTTTTATATTTTATCCGGAGCGAAACTTTAATTCTCCTTCCCGGAAGGCAATACACAAAACCCATTTATCAAATTTGGAAGTGTTGCAAAGTGTTGGAGAAGCGTTGCCAGAAGGGAATTTTGCATATACCACAATTTATATCGGGATTGATTCAACAACTCTTGGAAAGTTTTTAATTTACGATATTCGTGTATAGAAGGCACGACTTAAGATATACATAGAATTAAGAAAAATCAGCGAGGAATCACCTGTTGCATTGAGCTGTATCGCTAAAATGGATGACTATATTATATTGCGTCGTTTGCGAAAACTGCTGCTTTTAATGGAAATAGCATTACAAGAATCTCGCAATCAAAGCCAACTGAATGAACGAATGAATTTGTGCCGCGTATAAATGCAATTAAAAAATTGAGAATGCTATATAAATGTTAACAATAAAAATTTAATACGCGTGGTCACAGATAAATTCTTTGCTATTGTAATTCTATTACTGATTTTGAAGAAATAGTGATAGTGATGACGAGGTTTGAAGTGCTTGAACATGAAATTAAGCAGCTAGATATAAATTCAAGCGAATTCTGAAATTGCTTGTAAGGTTAAATAAAAGGTGGATGGATTTTTAATTTCCGGAATGAACCATATTTATCGGACTATAGGATGCACCGGACGACAAGAAGCGCTTCAAATTTATAAGATGATTTTTCGAAAAATACATTTTGATGAAACTTTCTGATCAACATTTTTATTTATTGTTAACTCGTACTAGCAATATTCAGTTCACCTTCACTCTCGGCACTATCACTAATCTCGCTAATGAGACCGTTCGTATTGCTTTCCTTTGAACTATCGTGGTCGCTCATTTCAAACCTCAATTTTAGAGATGATTTATTGAAAAAATATTTTAGTGTCACCTTCGGACCATAAGACGCACCCACTTTTTCATGTCAAAAGGTGAGGTATTCGTTGTGCATTTTTAAATGAGAATACCGACGGTCTTAGACTAGGCCTACACGAAGTAGTATGCGTTCATTTAAGGGTTCACTTATTAGAGCATTGATTTTAGTGATCCGAAAAAGAATTCAATCTGCTTCAAAGACTTTTTAAATCGCATGCATCAATGTATGAATTTCTTAATATCTCAAGTCATATATGTTCTACGATCTTTTTTTTTAACTTTGTTACTTTCTTTTCTTATTTATTATTACACACAATCTAAAATTATCATAATAGAAAGCAATAAATTTGTTAGAAAAATTTCTTACAAATTTAAACGTTTAACAGCAAACTTTGAAATCAATAAAAATTTTTTGAAGCTTATATCTGCGCGCAAAATAATATAAATGACTGGAAAAAAGGAGCTTTGAAAAAATAAAGATTTAAAATTTTTAATAACCGTACATGTAGTAAACTATTAACATATGCTATCTTCAGAGAGAATATCAATTAAAACAAAATAAATTAAAAATGTGAGAGAAAAGAAAGTAAAACAAAAAAAAAAAAAAAGTACGAAATAAACATAAATATTTTCTACTCAGTCGTCATAAATAAATTAAGGAATGTTTTGAACCTTGCTAAGTCTGAAAAGAATAAAATAAAAATCGGTCAGTTTGCTTAACTTTCTCGATTATTCATTCTGCCAATACCATTTTTTTCGCTTTGGTGTTATTGCCGTTCTGCTTAAATGATATCACATATCAGGTTTGAAGAATTTGACTGTTTTTGTAGTCAAATTAGTTTTCTAAACTCAAAAGAAAACAAAGATCTAATAAATCTTTACCACAACCTTTTGTTTTTTATATCCATCACACATTATTACGACTATAATAATTTTCTACAATACATGTACACTTTACTCGGAAATACCATAAAGCGTACATATTTTATCGGTGTTTTTTAATCATGCTCGCCTTTCACTTTGTTTGTCCAGGTGTTGTTTTCATACCTATCACCGATCAAGGGGGGGTATATTCATTTCGTCAAAAGGTTTGCAACGCGCAGATGCAAGCTGCAGAGATCTGAATCGACGTAAGCATGTCCGTCTGTCCACTTGTGCAATGTCCGTTGTAAACATTCTCTCGGCCGAAGAGTTGGAATTTTTTGTTCGCAGGTTGGTACTGAAAGTGGGCTAAATCGGACAAAGGACACGCCCATAGTACTAGGTAAACTAAGAACACCTGTGTTTTTCAAAAGGAATAAAAATTGGTTTTTTACGCATTACTCATAAACTTTAGCTGATAAATGTACAAAAGCCCAAGGCCTGTTTACAATGCCCACGCACCTATAAGCAAAAGCTTTCATTTTGAAAATGAAAGAATCAGCCTCACCCTCTTCATATTATAGAGCATGAAAATTTACTTCTTGTACTTTTTTGTCTTTTTAGGGTAACGGTGATGGGTATAAAGGATTCGGTCACGGCCAAATATAATTTTCTTATTTATTTATTATTTATTCCCTTCCATTATAGTGAGATTAAATTCAAAAGTCAATAGAAACCGACCCACAAATTGACAAACATCAACCTTTTTCTTCATTTCTGATATTGCGACCTCACGAATTCGTTAATTCCTTTAGTCTTTTCTTTTAAATTAGCTATAATAAGTCAGACAATATCTCTCTCTTTCTCTTAAAGAGTATGCCTAGAAATTTACTAGAAACTCAAGATCAAATGCTACGAAGTATTTACACACGCCGAGTCTCTATCTAATTCCACGCGGAAATTGCGAGAGACATTGTTCACATATTTTTTTTCCTTTTTGTTTGCGTGCCCATCAAATATAATGAGACACTTTGCGTATATAAAAATTTAAAGCTTGTGCTCACTTTCTTAGAGTGTATTTATCGGGGCAATCTGGTCCCAACACAAATTTCTAAGGGCAAACAGCAAAAATTGCTTTTAAACAGATTCAAATGAATCTACATAACACCTATAGGAAGGAGACCGCACAACAGAGGCATACTCGAGTATAGATCAAACCAAAAACATGTACAGCCTTTTCGTAAATAAATGATCTATTGTGCAGATAAGAGCTTAACCATTTCACTAAATAATTTATGGTTAACCAACTCAAACGTTTTGCTAAATTCAGTGTTTATGACATCAGTGCGCGAGCCACTAGAAAAAGCCTTGAAAATAAGTAAACTCTAACAGATTCTTCTTCGAAAGCCATGTTGGAGAGGCGAAATACACAATTTGATGGCAAAGGCCAAATACTGATTCACAATTCGCTCGAATAGTTTAGGCCAGACACTCAACTTGGCAATGCCTCTGTAGTTCTCTACAAGTTGTGTGACTACGAATAAGGAAAGTAGTCTTCCAACACAAAGGGAAAGTACCTAAATTTAAGGACTGATTAAAAATCTTTGGGATAACAACGCATAGCTCGATAGCACAAGATGATGGAATTCCATCAGGTCCAGGCGCACAAAAATATTTTAGAGAGTTCAACCCTTTAAAAACGTAAACCGAATTACGAATTGAAACCGAATTACTAATCGGATATGAATAGTTTGCTGATAAATCGAACTTAGCAGTTGAAAAGTTTTGTCGGAAGTAATCCGCAAAGAAATTTGTGGTTTCAATATTATCCGAGGACTCCGAGGCATTAAAAGAAACATGCGAAGCATTGATACAGATTTTTCTTTTGGAATTAACGAACTTGAAAAAGTATTCCAACAGAGAGAATTTAATAAACTGCCATAGTATTGGTGATTGAGTGAATTAAATGTATGCCTTGCCACTGAGTAAGCGAAATAGTCGAAAGAAAAACCACTTTTCGAAAATTTTTTGTTAAGATTTTTTTTTTCCCTATTCTTTTAATATTTAGTTGCTTTATTAAACCACGGGGGACACCTGGTTCGAGGACGGGACAGCTTGATCGAAAACGATGCAGACAGAGCTTGATCTAATATATTGTAGAACGGCGACAGCAAGCTATCAATACTTCCAATTGAGAAATCAAGCATAATATGTGAGAGATGTGTTTTTAGCAATTGAAACATTGATTTTATGGAAATCATAAAATTTATTTATTTCAACGAGCCATCATGCTTGTAATGAAAGGAAATACCCATTGCTGGATGATAAGGATTGTCAGGTTAATTAAAAGGAAGACAACTATTAACACAAATCTCAGGAAAATTGGCACAGCAAAGATCAAGCAGTCCACCATTGCAACTAGGCGTACCGTTGTATTGAACTAAATTATGATCGAATAATTAATTTAAGAACACAACAGCTCTACCACTGTAACACCAAGTGATTTGAGGCAAATTGAAGTCACCCAACGCAACGACTATATCGGCAGGCTTATATTGCTTGGCCACTTCGCCAATGAGGGCGGCCTGCTTCTTAAATATAGAGATATCCAAAGTTGGGGGAATATGGGAGTTTATATAAGTGTTTATTAGGAAACTTCGGTCGAACGGCGATAAATTCAACGTCAGGAGTAGTGGGAGATTCAATCACCACCATTGCGATCATCAACTGCTCATTTCTGAAAACTTGAAACCAATTATGGAAAAGTTCTGACAAATGTAAATCAGGCTTTAACCGAGTTCCAGTGAAGGCCGAACAGGAAAATTCCGTGCTCACTGAATATAGGAAAGTAGAACGAACTTTTTGAATTTAGGCTCTTAATATTTGGATAAATAAGGGATAATGAGCCTGAGAAAATATTTAGTTTATTGAAGGGGAAAGGTCTACTGCATTAGTATTACGAGGTCGATCACGAGGGATAAATTCCTCAATTAAGGATCCAGCCGGCCGCAATGGTTTATGTAACAACATATCCATGTCTTCAGTCCGAACTAGAATTTTAAAAGATGAGATTGCTCTAGGTTGAGAAGGAGCCAATTGAAAAATTCGAATAGTTGGAAATAAGCTATTTTCTCCTTTTGAAAAAATAATAAAAAAAAAATATGCAGCAAATGGTCGGTATTAGGCACGAACGCGCTCATTTTCAAAAGCAAATTTAGTTTTTTACGCGCTTTTGATCACCAAATGTCATAAATGGTGTTCGAGATTTTTGCTCATAGCTGAGTAATGAGAGTTTTTAGAAAAAGCGGTAAGGATTTGATTGCAAAATTGGTAAAACACTTTACTGAAGTATTGTTCTGATGTAGTTATCGTATCTTCCTACTTTCTTTAACCTCTCCTCTTTGTTCCTATTTTTTTAAACCGACGTTCACTGAATACAATACAGCTTCGATGAACGTATTGGTGCGTATAAGTGCTGAAATTTCTGTAAAATTTTTGCCCTTTTATTTTTACATTGCTATCCGATTACGGAAACAAAGCGTTTTCAATGATTGGATTACGTGGTATGTGAAGTGTATTACTTCATACGAGCCCTCCTTCAGAGGATTTTAATGATTGAGTAGAGAAGATTTTTAATGCTAACTACCATTTTTTCGTTGTAAACATAATTTTAAGTAATAATTAAGGAAGGTTAAGAAATGGTTTCAATTAATCTTTATTTAGTTGGAGCATACAACAAAACCTCGTTTTTTACTTTTATATGGCCTTTCTTTCGATTTCCACGGATAAGGTTGAGTTAAAATTTTAAAAATCAACGCAGGCATACATTTTTTTAAAAATTACATATGTATTAAATTAACAGCTGACACACATACATTAATTATACATAAACATGAGCCCACATGAACACATATTTACATACATTATGGATAAAATTTCTTTTGATGTTTGATATCAGGCATAACCTTAAATGTCAGTTTGCATGTTTAATTGTTACACTCGGTTGATTTTTTCTACAATTTGAAGAAGATGAAATATAATCTGTCGATAAGATGTTAGGCGGAGTTAAAAAGCCAAAGTCGCATATTGAAGGAAAAAATAAAGAAAAAATTAAATTTAACAAATAAAATTCTTAGTAGCAAGTATTTCTAAATAGCTTTGTCTCTAATATATTATCTTTGTCCTTCTAATAGGGTACGTATGTGTGAGTGCATGTGTTCTTGTAGTTCTTCTATTATTTAATATACTGTCAAGTTCAAGAACATTTCTATTTATTGTTCTTTTTACCATTTCCTCTGCGAACTAAGCACTTGACCGTGTCAAAGATCTCAAGGTAACTCTGGGGTAACGCCTCATCATTCATATTCATTTATTCACATTAGTTTCTTTTAATGGATGGAAAAAGATTAATAAACAATTATTTAAGATTATCTATAAGCTTTTGTTTTTTGCTTTTATTTAAATATCAACACTTGATATTCCAATGCCTGGTACATACATAACGCTTGCCGCCTACGACTACTGACATTTGATTTTATGCTTCATTATTAACATTAACAGACGTCTTGTTGTATTAAGTTATATTTTATCTTTTTTTTTTGTTTCTTTTTTTTATGCTCAACATCCGTTATAACCAACATTACGTCATTATTATCTGTATGAATACAACTTGTTCTCAAAGATGATATCATTTTGCTTATAAAGTAATTTCTGTTGATTTATTTATTTCTTTCTTACTTAAAACTACTTCGATGATTATCTAAACTTTATTTTGTCTAAAAAGTGTTGACTTTTTAGAATAATTCCTTTTAGTGCACTCATATTCAAACCCATAATCAGATATTTGGAACCTCCATCCATCCAGTTCTTAAGCTCAATACTTCATTGTTTATATATTGTACGTGTGAATTGTGTAAGTTAAGACAATTTCTTAAATGCACTTACCGTACTCGAAAGTAACACTATCCACGTGACTAGTGGCAAAAATATGTTCATTTTTGCTGTAAGAAGAAGAGAAAAAACAAAAAACATACAATTAGCTAATAAAAGAAAGAATAAATGAAAAGAATAAAAAAAAAAAAAAAACTCAAGGCATATGTTACGTATACAACAGAAAACAAGCTACTAACAAGTGTAGACTTGACATTAACAACCAAAGCAACTACATAATACTCTTGTCTAACTTTGATTATATATATATATATATATGTATGTACGCTTGCCTACACATAAAAAAATCGAAATGTCTCTAGAAACGTATATTTGTAAATTGTGTCTATATAAAAGCAACTAAGTTGGACGTAAGTCTGCCAAAATGGAAAAATTCATGACACGCATGTAATGTAATGTAATTATTGAGACCTTTTCGAAAAATTTGAATTGATATCGGAATATAAATACCGATGTCGGAACTAATTTTTTCGTTTATGGCGACGTTGCAATTCATTTATATAATATGTAAATGCACAAGAATCGCAATAATAATAATATCAAAGTGAAAGTAACAAAGGTACATTTATCTTTTGGCGAATTGTTGGTAACTAGTTTTACGTAGGCCTTTAAGAAAGTCTTGCCAAACTTTTTTGTATAACATTTTAGAGTTTTAGGGTTGCTCGAAAAGTCATTTCGGTTTGTTTTCGTCAAACCGAAGGATGATGTTTGAGCAGTCGAATTCGATAAATGTATTATAATATATCAGGTATGTTATTTGCCGAATTGCATCTGCTAAACCCGCTCTTTTGATTTCATCAGCTTTAATCGAACTTCTAAAACGTCAATATCAAGATTCGCGGAATGAAATTTTGTAAGGCAATTCTGGCACCCGTCTTCTGTCAATATATCTCCTTCATACACATTCAATAATTTTCTTCTTTCTTAAAGCTATTGGAAACTAAATACATGTCTAAGTCAAATGAAATGGTGCCAAATCAGATATTTTTTCAAATAACGTTTATTGACCTCTGTTGAAAAATTTGAAGTTCTACTTTTCATTAATTTTCTTTTGTTTCTAGAGTAGAATGATTTCTTTCATTTATATTCTGCTCTAATTTGCATAACTATAAAAAGGTAAGTTTCATTTTTTAAAACCTATTTACCTAAAATGTGGAATGAATATTCGAATGTTGTTTACGAATGCTTTATTTAGGTTGTGCATGTAATCGTATTAAGCGTACCATTCAGATATGGATTTAAATGTTAATGTAAACATGAATAAGAATAAGTAATGATTGGCAATATTTTTTGAATAAACTCTTATATGAGACGCTCTGCTGAGATGAGAAGCACTCTTCATAACTGAAAAGTCATATGTATATGTATAGGGAAAATATAAAGGCGAATAAAAGAAAGTCATGCACATTGGAGTTTGTTTAGAAAAGGTGAAGAGCTTCACATCACATATATATTTAAGCTTTGTATGTAAGTATTTGACCATATGAGTCATATGGGCACAGATATACACGTATTGTAAATGTTGCATAAATGAATAATGAAAAAGTTTCCTTCATATTTGCTTTGCAACAATAACAAGGCCTACATATCATGTTAACCTTGATCGAATACCAAATATTGAAACCGTTTTGCTTATATAGTCATAGTTGTTTCGTTTGTGACTTATTGCTACTACTATCTGGCTATTGATGTTATATAATGTGTAAACCATTGAATCGCTTCAAATTCTTGTTGCGTCAATTTTTTTATTTTTATTTTGCAAAGTAAATGTCAACAAAATTCTTGCATGTTATGTTACATTTTGGACAAAACCACTAATGCAAAATGATTTAAACAACGGCAGCAGCAAACAATATTACTATAGTTTGTACGGCATATAACCGACGCCAATAGCAATAAGGTCTAATATGGTTTACATATTTCACTTTTTTTTTTTATTTTTGTTTTCTTGCAGCAGCCATCTCAGGTAGACAAAGTAATTCGCTTGTCGTACACGTAAACTCATCTAACTAAGCCTAGTTGCAAAAAAAAATGTTGCGTTAGCAGCATACATGCATACATACTTAAATGCATGCAAATATGTAGCCATACATATACACATACATATATGTACTTATATGTACTTATAAGCAAGAGAAGATGCCATCAAATGTGAAAGACATTGGCTATGAAATGCGTACAATTTTTCCGGTTTTTCTTGAAATAGATGAAATAAAATAAATGAGAAAGTTTCCTTATAGTTAGGTTAAGTCGACTAATCAATAACCATATTATTTGTGGTAACTTGGTAAAACTCTCAAAGGCAACAATAAGTGCAGCTTACCCGATTGGTCGATTGGAAAACTTGAGATTTATTCATGCACGCTTATCTATACTTGTACTTGTACGTATGTAGCTGAATACTTGTATATGTGAAATTTTTCTTCGCTTTTCAAATTTCACAAGTTAGGCAACTAGGAGTAGTTGAAGGCGTTCCACACACAAAAGTTTTAATAAATTTTTTTTTCTATCGTCGCTCATTTTGTTTTGAGTTTATGGTTATGGTAAAATGAGTGGGAGTACTTTAACAAGTTTACGCGAGAAGCTAGTTCCTTATTTATGATGATTTGTAAGAAGAAGAAAAAAATGTAAACAGGAGTTCGTATATATTAACGATTATTAGCGCATAATTAGCAGATAGAATTAAATGAATACGAAACAAGTAAGAACAGGTAATGATATTGCATTTGCCTGTTGCCAAATCTTTTATGCCCATCACCATCAAAAACAAAAAAAAAAAATAAATTTCTATACCGGGTGGACAGCTTTTCTTTTTTTTTTCTTTTTATACACGCTGTAGTCACCTATAGCATAAACAAAATTTCTATTGTTGTAGTTTATGCGTGATGGACGAAACCACCACTTTTTGGCTTAAAAATGCCAATCTCTTCTCGACTTTTGATTGTTTGACTGACATAAGCTCCAATGCTTTTAATAGTTTTGAAATTTTGCGATCTTAAGAGTGCTTGTGATATAAGTGCATAGAGGTCGGCGGATGGAGGGACAAATATCAGTATATGGTACTTATCGATATAGGATCCCCAGGGTTTCCTTCTGCATATTGCAGAAGATTTGACAAAAGAATATTCTATAAAATTGAGTGGGTGAGGTCAATTTTTTCCATTTATTACAGCTACTGTAGGATTATCCATCGAATGTTTATAAAAATTTCAATTTTTGCATTTGTTGCGATTTATAAGTAACGCGGAAAAAAACATATTTTTTTGGTTTTGAATACGATGTGGCTTCTTAGCTTAGTTTGCACTTTGGTACTGGCACTGTGCGTTGGGTTTCACTGATTTTGCTGACCTTCAATACCAGCTCCAACGGCTTTGCCCAATTTCATTTTTGCGAATATTTCCCATAGGTATTATATGAACGCTCAAACAGACAGGCGGACACGTGGACAAACGGGCATGCTTAAATTGATGCAGACTTTAATGCCGATCGGAAATGTATATACCTCATGGGGTCTCTGAACCATCCTTATGGATTTCACAACGGCTTTTATTCGTACTCATACTTCGGTGGTGGGTATAAAAATAATCATAAAATTGCTTTTGCATAAATCCGTTAGACCTTTTGAAATCTTCTTTAAAGTTATTTTTGTATATATATATATATAATATAAGAGACACGATTACTTTTATGTTTTATAAGTGAACCTTTCGTTTACCCTTATTTTTTTGTCTATCGTACATAGTTAAATCATAGAAACTGGAAACAGATGAAATATCTCTCCAATCATAGATAACTGAAATTTAATGTGGAAGAGAGAATAGGAAAGAAAAGCAAAACTCGGACTCCTTGCGTTTAAAACTTATATCTTGTCAAAAGTGTGATATGAAGACGTAAAAAAATTTTCCCTTGACGATTCGTAAGAGACTTTGTGCCAATTGTTTAACTTGCAAAATATGTTCTGCTCAGCTTCTTTACTAGTTTTATTACCAGTTTTACAAATTAACACCTGTTCGAGTTTTGTTATTTCGTCTCTTGAAAAATTTATATTGATTTATGCGAAAATTTTTGTACGCGTATAAATAAACGACACCGAATGTGCGTAAAAGATGCCAGCCATCAATTATCGCCATCATATCATATGTATGATGTATGATATGGTCTTATGGTCTTTAAGATACATCTGTTAACAAAATGTTGTTGAAAGATATGTAGAACCACGAACCCAAAAGCATTAATAATGGGACCAGTAAAAACTATTTAAACGAATTCCGCTGGCTAAACAAGCCTACAATAGCACTCATTAACCAAAGTACTAGAAAGAAAAAAAAAGAAGAAAAACACCAGCAATAACAGCGGAATCATTAAGACTAATGTTAAGGTAGATTTTTGGATGCGTTTTTTAAAGCAGATTTCCAGGATTTCAGCAGAGACATGAACTTACATAGTTTATAGCTAACTTGAAAGCATAAGTGTCCTTAATCAGTACCTACGTCTAGTTTATATATGGATACACATCTATATATGTATGCATGCATGTGTGTTTGTGTACGTCAGTGTGTGTGTGTGTGTGTGCGTGGCGTGTTGAAATTAAATCAACCGGCAGCAACAGCAGTAGGGTCGGCATCAGACCTAAACATCATATGATTTATGAGATTTTAATGAATGAATGAAGCTAATTGAGTAGAGAATAACGTAGAAAAAGTTACTACATAACCATAAACGTATCTTAAAGTATATGTTATTGCGAATGTGCATTAAATTTGTAAAAAATTACCTGTAATTTAACCGGTTTTTTTTTGAAAATCCTTGACATTAAATTACATATGTTTTTATGGCATTCGTACATAAAAATGTGTGTAAGTTTGTCGTTTAGAGCAGCAAAAAAAAAAATAAATAAAAATAATGAAATAAAAATAATACGAACATCAACATATCTACAAATATAGATAGTGAGAGATCATTTACACATAACACTCCAGACAAAATGTTGAAGAAGTAACATAAATGCGATTCCCTTTTGACATTGCATTGAACAATGCTGCTGTCGCTA